TGCAGCTATCTACAAGAAGTAAGAAGACTTTTTGCCTAATTAGACGCGTGGATCAGGAAACTATCCCTGCATTCAGCATCAAACATCTACGCTTGGGGGTACAAGAGTCGGAAGTAGATATCCTTGAATTAAAACAATGCTAAGCTGTACCTAGTTTTGTATTAAGCAATATTTCGGTTGTTCATTCGAGTGCCATTAACGCAACAAATTTATGATGAGAATGATATTTCAACAATTGGATTGCTCCATTATTTTATCTTTAAAAAGGTATAATTAAAACCGAGTAAATGCAACACTTTTTCATAGGGATATATCTTTCCATTGTCTGCATGATGCCCAATTCATAAAGAAACTCATGCATATTCGCGCAAGATTCGTTAGAAAAATGATTAATTATGATGGTAATAACAACGTTTCTGCAATTGATTTCTAATGACAACGAATATCTATTCACAGACTAAATATACTCTCATACCACATATGATAGAACAATTCCACATTTCCACAATGGATAAAAAACCAATATCCTTTAAGACCTTGATTTAGGACTCAACCCAGAAAGCAATCAATAACGAAAAAAAATTTTTTTTTGTAAAAAAAGAAAAATATCAATAGCAACATTCTTTTGTACATAATTGGGTATTTTTATAAGTTTACAAGTTATAGTTCAAGTTTACGATATAGGTGGAGCATCAGTCGTTTATGCTCAATGAGTATCTATTTTTTAATCTATGACCAATTTATTTTCGAACGATCGTTGGTGCACTTTGCAAATCATTTCAACGCACGAAGACAAACTGTGTGCTTCAATCAATACCAGTGTTACATTTTCAAATAATTCTTTTGTAAACTTATGATATTTTTTTATTTATAAACGTGTATTTAAGATTTGAATAACTTTTCAAAGAAACTGTTATACTATTTATACAACTTCAAGGTTATTCCTGCGTCAGTTGTTGATGAATTGAACTTGCTCTGAAGAAGCCAACAGGATGATTGGTGAAACGTCAGCAAATTCGATTCATCAACAACTGACGCAGGATTAATCTTCAAGTTTTGCGAGGTTTGGATGTTAATATTAAACCTTTATAACAATTGCGTATTACTTAACAATACTGTAAACACTTTTAATACTTTTATTAAAACAAAAATAAAATTTTTCAATGTAAAGACAGATAAATCGCCTTATATATGGTATATCTGCAGGTATCCCACAATTTTTAAGAGGTTGTAACATATTTATGAGACTTTAGGGCTACGAGTACAAGAACACGTAAATTCTACCACACTAATCAGCTCCAAGATGTAGTAGTAGTAGTTCATTATAGTATGGAATCTCAGTGAAATGTGGTTTTAGATCTGGTATTAATTTGTTTAATTAAATCGAAATGAGATTGCGGGTTATTCATGTTATTAAGGCGTTCCGTATGAAATATACACTGAGGGATAGTCTTTGGTCTTGCATGTGTTGCTAAACAATATATCCTATTTAATTTTCGCGAAGGATGGAGGAAAAACTACTTTTTGGCGAGTTGTGCGTTAGTAATTGCTCTTTTTCTGGATTCCTATAACTAGACTGGACAAACTAATTTGTCCTGAAATGAGGTTTGACGGGTTGAAGTTTAACATACTTGAAAGGATGAGGCCAATTAATATTACAAAAATTAACTAGGCTGTTGTTGTCTCCTTCAAAGTAATCCCATGCCGGAAAAACTTCGGAAAAAATTGCATGGTACGAGCCAATCGACGTCTTCACTAATAGTGTTTCATTTGTTTCACTTTTTCAACGCTTTCAAAAAATTACAAAAATTAACTTTAATTTTTTGAGCACACCTCGTATTTAGGAACACGACAATACCGCTTGAACGGGGTTTTTAACTGTTTTGCAGAATAGTTGATAAAATAGAGGGTGTTCGTTTTGAAAAAAAAAAACACTTTCATTGTTTCGTTTCCAGCATAGCTGCAATAAAAAAAATAGGGAAAAAAATTAATTTATCGCAAAGCACTAAACATAGAAGGTAAAAGTATAGAGAGGTGTTATACAAAAAAAATGATAGCGCAATTGACAATTCAATAATATACATGGTGTCCAATAAAAATATCAAAGTTCAAATCGATTGTCCTGGCTTATGGGAATGATCAAAATTTCAAAACGGTTAAATAAATTGTCAATTGTCAACAATTAATTGTCAATGGGCTCCATTAGATGTCATGCATTAAAGGAAAAACGTTTCTATATAACGCGCATAATATGACGGATATAGGAAATTCCGTTCCTTATAATGCCCCGCGTCCAAGGCCCGCCATCTTTAAACACACCATGCGATTGACGTATCACCAACCTTTCTAAAACAAAGAATGGTTTGCGGCGGCGTTTACATTCCGAAACTTGACCAGTCACTTCCGATTATTCTTTAAACGCTTTTTTAATTACCTAGTCTTACTTAACGGCTATAAATATATACAGTGCGAGTCTCTATATCAATCAGTATTTGAAACTGAATTTTATACAGCTAGTCCGAATTTTGAGATATGACGCCATCTACTTTTTTTTAATGGAAACTCTATTTACGTTACCCTTTTCAAAGGGTAAATCCAGCTTCACATGTGTGTCAAATTTCAAATTCTAATTTCTTGTCATTTAAAGAATATTTAACAAACGTTAAATTCGAAGAATGAAGAAGTCGCAGATCAAAAGTGGTATGGCAAATTAAAAATGTTTGGTAAAATTCCGATTAATTTAGCCCCTATGTATATGTGGGTAAACACTAAATCAGATTCTGCGTTATAATCAGTCCAGGTCACAGTTGTGTGACGGGTCTGATTGATATTTGTCAAAGCACACGTGGGAGAGGCTGTCCTCTTCACTAGAAAGCAGTTTACGACAACTGTTCGTCAGACATAGTTCACATTAAAGGAAAAGTCAATCAGGGTAGTGTCTAAGCCCGCTTCTTCTTCCACCCCTCACATATTGTTCAATTTTGACTTAGCTAACATTTTAGCAAACATCGAACATCTTCCTCAAAGCTATCCATCAAATCTGTTGCCATGTAACGATAATGTTCGAGGTGAGCTAACCGAACGTATAAAACTTAGGGACGGGAATAGTACGACCTCATTTCAAAACTTCTGAAAATTTTTAAATTTAAAATTATTATCCTCGCAGAAACTTTTATTTTATCACATTTATGAATTCTATTGGTATTAAAAGGATATGGAAAGTTCAACATTGTTGTGTACGGCTAATATAAGCTGCCTTAAGTATGTTAATTTCATAAGATAAGATCGCCTTATCTTCATGAAAAACTAACGTATAGTATATGGCGATATAATTATCGGTTATTAACTATACCTGCACAAAAAAGAGTTTTCTAAAAAGTGTTTTGCCTCATAGACTGCTTTTCTGTGATTTTAATATGCGACATGTGTGAGATGTGACATGTGGGCATTAATATGGATGATCATTCATCTATGTTCGCGATAAAACATTTTTTTCTTCTCTGTTTTTCTATGCACTTCTCGTCCCTTTCTTTTCTCCCCATTTCGAATTCCTGCATCTCTTCTAATTAGCCGTTAACATTTTTTAGACTTCAACTCCACCTGTCCTGGGAAGGAAGTTGCGTAAAAGCCGCATATTGTTTATTTGCTCTGACATATAATGGGTGTTTTTTTTCGATGTATAGAACTTTAAGTTGGCATTACTGTTCAAAATGGCGACCGATTTAACAGCTGTTAAGTGATTTATTCTCAGTTTGGTTTGGCAATTCATCATGAATAGACTCACGCCTGGACAACGCTTGCAAATAGTGCAATTTTATTTCGAAAATAATGGTTCTGTGCGGAATACGTATCGCGCACTACTAATTCGATTAACCATGGAACGTTTTCGCACCACGTTTACTCTTTTACGTTTACTCTTATTGATAACTCGCATCGAGCACAGGAATTGGATCTGTGTCCATCCACTTTATGGAAGATTTTGCGGAAGGATCTTGGTTTACGTGCTTACAAAATCAAACTCGTGCAAGAATTGAAGCCAAACGTCGAATGGGCCCAAAACGAGATTGCCGTTGTTCCCGATTTTCATAAGCGAATTTTGTTTAGCGATGAAGCGCAGTTCTGGTTGAATGGCTCCGTCAACAAATAAAACTGCCGCATTTGGAGCGAAGCTAATCCTCAAGTGTATGTCGAAACACCGTTACATCCAGAAAAACTGACTGTTTGGTGTGCTTTATGGGCTGGTGGAATCATTGGTCCGTACTTCTTCAAGAACGTTACAGTCAATGGTGATCGGTATAGAGCTATGATTACTAACTCTTTCATTCCTGAATTGAATAACCATGATGTCCAGGAGATGTGGTTTCAACAAGACGACGCAACATGTCACACAGCTCGTGCCACAATCGATATATTGAAAGACACGTTTTGGACCTGTGAATTGGCCTCCAAGATCTTGTGATTTAACACCGCTAGACTACTTTCTGTGGGGCTATGTAAAGTCATTGGTCTATGCGGATAAGCCACAAACGCTTGACCATTTGGAATACAACATTCGCCGTGTTATTGCCGATATACGGCCACAAATGTTGGAAAAAGTCATCGAAAATTGGACGTCCAGCCGTGGCGGTCATATGCCAGAAATCATATTTAAAATGTAACGCCACAAGATTATCTTTCGGATAAATAAAATTCATGTCAATCGAATAATCCATCGTTGTTTTATTGCAACTTATAGTTCTATACAACGAAAAAAAACACCCCTAATAATTTGTAGTTTAGAATAATGAACGCTATTATTATCATTGTTACTTAGACAAAAAAATTGCGCAGGGAAGGAAATATTAAAATCAAAGAATTTGTTTTTTATTTAGTTGTGGCCACCCTGTATACAGAGGTAACCGTCGATAGAAAATTAAATAGATGCGGAGAGCGGGTTTATTCAGTCAATTAATTTTTTAATTGAATACCGCTCGAGTTGCAAAAGCGAAAACATTACTCACCGCCGTCGCACTCCCCGCCCTTGCCCCTGAGGAGTCTCGAGATGGCCGAAACGCTGGGCGCAGTGCTCCGGTCGCAGATCCCCTCTTTGACTAGACGGTCGCGTATCTCGTAGCTGAATATTTGCGGGTTTTCCCGTTTGTACTGCTCGATGCGCGTCTCCACTTCAGGGGTGGCGACCCGGGGCTTCGAGCCTCCTATAACCCCTGGCCTGATCGATCCCGTCTCCTGGTAAAATTATAGGAATCGCAATTTTTAGATTTTTTTTTTCACATTTTTACATTTTTATATTTAATTTTATGGGATTATACTGCGAGCCATAGATATTGCAACATCCGGTAAACGCTTATACGGGTGCTACCTTTTAAATTTCGGGATTTGTAATAAAAAACTATAAGCTACCAACAAATATGACTTTACTGTTTCTCAAAATATTCACCCTGATGATCAATACACTTTTGCATTCGGGCACCTCCAAAACATGCTTTTTAAACGCATCAATCGCTTCTTCTGGTGTCAAAAATCGTTGCCCACGTAATTTATTCTTAATGTTTGGGAATAAAAAGAAGTCATTGGGTGCTAAATCAGGACTATATGGTGGATGGCTCATCAAATCAATCTTTTTAATGCTCAAACAGTTCTTTCAAAGATACCACAATCTCATGGTAAGTCACATGACGATCCTGCAAAATCAGTTTCAGCACTGCATCAATGTTTTCTTGGACAACCACCGATTTTGGATGACGTTCACGAAATTCATCCTTAAGAAAACTACGACCACGACTGAAGTGCGAAAACCAGCAATAAACAGTAGTCCTAGATGGTGCTTTAACTACAAAAGTCGAATTAAGTTCATCGATTATTGCACGAAAATGTTCCCGATTACGTTCCGTTTTTAACAGTCACAATTTTTTTAATTTATCACAAAAAACACAAACAACACTCTTTCGCCAAAACCTAACCTCAAAATGTCAAACTTCCCTATAAAAACGTTGGTCGCCAGATGGCAGGACTAGAAAATCCCGGAATATAAAAGGCAGCCCTCGCAGTTATAATGTTTTTGTTGTCAGTTTGTTTCTAAATAATTAATATAAGGCGACGAGGTTATACATATTCTGTTCCTAATAAGTTTTCTAGTTTTCGAAATTGGTATAGTAAGTCAATACCTTGTCCTTTGTCTTTGATAGTACTATATATTCTTGCATCGCGGAAGAATCAGGCAGATAATTAGTTGTAAAAACCGGGTCGCTGAAAGATGGCCTTTTCCGAAGTTATAAGTTGTAATGTTAAAAAGAATATGGTTTATACAAAAGTCACAGTCGATGACTTTATTTACTGTCTCACATACAAAGACAAGATCAAAACACTGCCCCCTGGACTCCAGGGATAGTGTAAATTCTCATTATACCATAAGTGAAAATGTAGTTCTCTATCAGCGAAGCATTAAGAATGCTTCGGAAAAATGTAATTAAGAATCTGGATTCTTAAAGTCCTTAGAATAACTCCTAAACCACGCAATGCTTTCCCAATGACTGCGCTTAAGTGGGAACCAAAGTAACCCCTCGATCTTCAACCACGTTAACGCGTTTTAACTTTTTAAAAATATTATTATTATTGTTAATAATTTCTTTAGAACTACTCGGTTTTATTGCGTTTGGGCTGTAAGAAGTACCGCGTATCCCCAATTAAGCGGTCGTCATCGGATCATTGGGGCTTGAAGAACAACCAGTGATCATAAATTTACTGCCCTTAGAAACCATTTCAGCACAACCAGCGCAACTATAACCAATAGACACAGGCAGACGTCTGGCATGGGGTCAAGAATAGGCTTACTGGAATTAGGAGTGCTTCAGGTGAAATAACAGTTGGAGTCAGCTCACCTCTAGTTCATTTGCAAGGAAACATGAACGCTCAAGTCTTCATTAATAACGTGTTACAACCTGACACAAGCAGTGTGGATAAAGGCAAAATATGAATTTTCCAAGAATTCTCAGAGAAGTAGTTATTTTGTTTATAGACGCGGAAAGTTATGATATCGATTTTCGTCAGTAAAAAAAGTAACTGTTTACATTTAATTATTTAAAAATTTAAATGGCAGATGTGAAAAACGATCTTAAGCAAATTCCCAACGTTTTTCAAAAACAGTCCAGATTGGTCATAATTTGATTGTTAAATAATTAATAAATAAATTAATACTAATATTCAAGGGACATTGAGATGGCATTAAACTGAAACCAAAAAATCCAGTTAACTATGATCTTCATAATACAATTATTACAGGTTTCAAAAAATATCAAATTAAATATTTTATTTTTGGGTTTCTAATTTCAAAACCCGAGGATGTAAAGGTTTAAAAAAAGACTACATATTTATTGAAACTCTTATGAGCCACGTGTGTAGATCTTTTATGATTTTATTTACATTCTTCATTTCTAATATTTAAATTAAACAGTGTAAAATAATCCTGAAACATATGTTTAAGATTATGCGTTTTGCAATAATATTGCAATATTTTTGCAAATAATAAATAAAAATAATTTTTGATGGCTTACAAGATGATCTAATTGGGTTCTATAAAGCTTTGGAATGTTATCATCAGTAAAGTGTGCTTACTTAGAAGTTTGAGACCACACATTGCACATTCTCCGATCTTTTTTAGTATTTTCTTTGCTACAAATCTTCAATGAATCTTGATATATGAAGACTCTGTTGTAACTCAGGACTATAGAAAGTTGCTTACAATTAGTGATATGTAATTTTGTCTAAATTGAGCACATCTCGGATTTATATTCCACATATTATATTTATAATGCAATAGGACTAATATTGAGTGACCTATGTAATACATTTTTTTTTTATTTTTCGAGTGAACTGAATGAATTAGAATGATATACATTTAGTCATTTAAGAAATAGAAGCTAAATATTACATACTTATTGCTTCATATAGGACTTTTGCTAAATTTCAAACAGCTTTTCTGAAGAATAACTATGGCATCATCTATTTCACAATGCATCAAACAATTGTATTTGTATAATAAAATATTATGTTAAATTTTTTTTAAATAAATATTAATTAACCAACTTATTTCCACACTACAAATATTGGCTGTCCTGCATATTTTATAGTAAAATCGTAATGTAGCCTCTTGAATAGACCGATGTGATTAACTCACGTGCCGAGTTTGAATAAATTTTAATAAACCAATCTTCAGTAAACACTAGTAAAATGCAACAGTAACAATATTTTTATTTGTGTTTATAATACGTCATTAAAGGTGCTTTAATTAAAGCTAAATATGCGTTATTCGATTGAAAAAAAAGTAACCATAATTACGTGGTATTTTGCAGGAAACAGTCAGGGAACAGAGCAGTATCAATTTAATTTCCTGCTAAATACAATAACATCGATATTCACAATTAAAAGTATTATTACAAAGTCCGAGTCCAAAGGGACCATAATAAATAACTACAAATGTTCCGCTGAAAATGAAGAAAGAAGAGTAGCATTTTATTTTGAAATTATGAAAAAAGCAAATAATGAAAGGGATTTTTAAAAAAATATTTGTGACGAATAAACATTCGCACTCAACAACCAAACCAAATGGTCAAAACTGTCGGTTTTGTTCATATATGGATGGTTGTCCCGCTCACAATTCCCGTACGGTTAGGAAGGGATCTAAAAATTTTAACCAACTTATTGTCATTGAATCAAATGACACCTTAAAAAGGACCAAAATCCAAAAAATATTCGCTGCGATGACGACGCATGACAGTTATTCATTTGTTGCGATGCTAGCGACAAACGGTAGTAGTGCAAACTAAGATAAATTTGTTCTCCAGATTAACATAAATTTACCGCATGTTGCAAATTTATGTGTACGTCACACAGCGTAACTACGTAACTGAAAAATTAAATAGTTCTCACTATAATTCCAAACAATAAAAGGTTCGGGCTCGTCTGAAGTACTATTACCTGATATCTGTTCAGTATTTTACTAACACAGCCGTGCGACACCCTCAGCTGTCTGGAAATGACGCAAGGACGTACCCCGGCGGCAGCCATTTCCACGATTTTCAGTCTTATGTGGTTAGGCAACGGACGTCCGTTGATGAACACGCCGCCCAGTTGATTAACTCGACCTTGGCCTGAAAACAAAGGAACAATCTCGTAAACGCGTAGCGCGGAGTGCGCCGAGGTACCCTTCTGGGGCCCTTATGAGAGAGCGTCGAAGGGCGACCTCTGTCGGGGTTTATTATGATTTATTGGTGCTGTCTACGACCCCGAAGTGAAAGTTATGTTGTTCGGGATACAATTAGGTTGTAAAAACCCGGACCTCGGCTATGTATAAAAATTATTCATAAACGTGGGCCACCAGGCCATACCATAAATATTTCTTCAACGAGCGACATTCGCGGAAATCGGAAAAATATACGGGGCGATACAAAGTTAACTATACCTATTGTCTATAGGAACAGCACCGATTCTGCGCAAAAAGTTAGTAGGGGAGGGTGGGGCAAGGAGGCTTTATGAAAGATTTCATGTATAACGTAGTCAAAGTTCTTCGTCCTTAAAATCTTTATACTCAGCCCTGTATATATAAGTCGCGTATTCCGGTAGGCTCGTCCCCCGTGTATATTATCGTGGAAATCTATTAGGTTTTGCGCCACACTTTTAATTAGACTCCGGCGGTTTTCCATCAAAGCGGAGTCCGCCCTAATTAGACTAATGGGATTTAAAATTAATTAAAATCTCATTAACGTCTGCCCGAATAATAATGATACATTAACGGTTAAGACTATAACTCAATTTAATGGTGCCTGAGGCGTAACATTTGTTGTGTGTATATAATGAGTAAATCAATGTTTATCGATTAATATTCGGGACAGGTACAGCGTCAGGATAGGGGAAAAAGTGAGAGCTAAGCTGTGTCGAAAGCCTGCAAAGCGACAGAAAAAGCAACGACAGAATAAATAAGAACTAAAAGTTCAGATTTTTGCGACAATTGTTTCGACAACACCGTGTCTTTATCAAATGTAATATTTACAAACTACCTGCTACTATATATACCGAAAACGTTAATTAATGTTGTTGTGAGAATTCAAGTTCAATAATGGAGAGGTATTTAAATCTAATTGATCGTTAAGCAATACATCTGAATGTCTCATTTTGTTAATCTCCATGGCTTCCAATAAATTTAATTTTCTACTTTTTGTGGCTGTATGTAAAATATCAAAATTGTCGTCAAAAATGTGTTTTTCTGTGTTTAAGTGTGTAGTATAATTAGAATCTAGTTAAACGCTCTTTTATCTACCTATTGTCCAATATAAATTTTAGGACAAGATCCGCATTTCAACCTGTAGGCGCCTGATTTTTGATTTCGTTTTATTGTTTTTTAAAAATTTTCCTATTGTGTGGTTAGTTCTGAAAGCTATAAAATGCACTATCGAGATTGAATGGGATATCTCTATTAATTTTTTAGACTTAACTATTACGAAAACGCAAAACAAATTAGATTTTTCCATTTACCATATACCTTCACACACTTCACACACTTAATACAGGCTTCTTAATACACCACTCTCAACAGAAAATTACAACAAAGAACTTAATATCATTAAACAAATTGCACTGATCAACGGCTACAATCCGTCCATTATAGATAAAATTATAAATAAAAAACAAATTCAGACAACAGTAAACTCTATTTATCCGAAACATAATACAGAACACGAACAATTTAAAACAAATACATACATAGGAAAACCTAGTGAAAAAGTTTCAAAACATTTGTCAAAATGTGGTTTAAAAATAGCTTTGAGAACTAACAACACAATAGGAAATTTTTTTAAAAATAGTAAAACGAAATATCCAAAATATCAAAAATCAGGTGCCTACAGGTTGAAATGCGGATCTCGTCATAAAATTTATATTGGACAAACAAGGAACGCATTAACGAACATAAAAGAGCTGTTGAAAACAATCCTCTAGATTGTAATTATACTACACACTTAAACACAGAAAAACACATTTTTGACGACAATTTTGATATTTTACATACAGTCACAAAACGTAGAAAATTAAATTTATTGGAAGCCATGGAGATTAACAAAATGAGACATTCAAATGTATTGCTTAACGTTCAATTAGATTTAAATACCTCACCATTATTGAACTTAAATTCTCACAACAACATTAATTAACGTTTTCGGTATATATAGTAGCAGGTAGTTTGTAAATATGACATTTGATAAAGACACGATGTTGTCGAAACAATCGTCATGTCATAATATATAATTTGGTGAAACTCTGAACTTTTAAATCTTATTTATTTTGTTAAATGAATTTTCATCAAGTTAAAGCCACCTCAGTTCAAAAGCAACGACCCCTGTCAATTCGCAAATTTTGCTATTCATTCAACGATCACAGAAGTTTCTGTGGCTTCATTTGTTTTTGTTGCCTTTCGTGTGAATTATTTCTGTCTTTTTTCGTATTGTACCATAGGCAGTGCCGGCTTTAGGATTTTGACGCCCCTTAAATAGGGGTTGGAAAAAAAATATACCAGCAGATACAACATGATTATTATTACAAGCAAAATGAATGAAATATTTATTTATATCTTACTTATTTTACACTAAATACAATTTTATTGCTTTTATTAACACAAATTCCTCAAGAATTTGGCTTACGTCATATTTCGCTTTCAGTTGAAACAAATCTTTCTTGAGATATCGTTAATCTCAAATAAGTTTGGATTATTTATAGACATACATTTTTATTGAAATATTAGAGTAAAATTTTGATAGCAATGGTCAAATTTAGAAAACCAAAATCTAAATAATTATCAAATATAAATTGAAGAATATGTAAATTTGTGGAAGGAAATGTGCAAATAAACAATCAAATATTTTTTTAAAGAAGTGATTCTGTCCTACAATTATTAAAGTGTGCCAAAAATTTTTTTCCGTCGGGTTGGGTCTTATTTTTGCTTCATAATCGAACAACCTTTTTTTTTTCTTCTTCGAATAGATTTTTCTTTATATTGAAGAGAAATGCATAATAATTAAATTATTTTTTACTCTTATTACTCAATTAATAAATTTAATATTATTAAAATTAATTTAAATATTGCTGAATATAAGTACTTATTAATTTGTTAATAATACCTAAAATAAACAACAATTTTCAAAAAAATTTAAATAAAATCCAGGCGAAAAATGTTGGAATCGCCAACTTTTATGTTATTTTCAAGTAAATAAATCAAATAAAAAAATTAAATAAATATTTAAATTAGATGAATGTCGAATTTATCAAAACAGATAAAATATATTTTTTTACCGCATACTTTAAAATACCCAATTGTCCGGGGTTCAAGTGTGTGGGATGCGTCATTTTAATAAAACGTCAACTATTAGCATTTAAAAAAAAATAAAAGCCCATTTTGCTTACTATATAGCGTTATCCGAAAGAATTCAAGTTAATCAAATTTGGCTTAAAAATATTATTTACTCTTAACAGAGGCTTTTTAAGACATCTAAAACATGTAAAAAAAGCTTCCTGTTTGTGTCATCTGTGCATCTTTTTGTTATTACTAGGCTTTATGGTATATCAAGTGTATCAAGTACCATAAGATGATTTTGTTTCTATTTTCAAAACAATGTACTTTGCTTTTGCAGGTTCGCTTATAGCTTTTTTCATTTTTTTCATCATATCGTGGAAATAAAATATAACATGGAATAAGAATTTTACAACATAATATTGTAAATATACAAGACACATATAAAATATAAAGCATAATACATAAAACATAAAGCGCTCGGCAGGCATTAAAGCTGAGCGAAGATTATCACAGAAACTTATAAATGAAGGAGGGGAATCAAAGAGGTGCAATCATCTGACAGATATAGTTATTGATATCTTGAAAAAGATAAACTCTTCTAAGTTGTAAAAGGAATGCTTTATTAAAAAATCTTTGACTAAGTTTTTGAACCTGTGTATTAGGAGTTGATTTGACTCGGCATTAGGTTTATTAAAAAACCTAGTCTACTTGCATAAAGACGGAAGAAATCAGGTCTGAGGGGTGTAGGGGTGAACTTCAAGTAAAAAATCTGATTCTCTTAAGCGTACAACAGACATTTAAGTATATAAGCATTTGGATTTTAAGCTCTGAAAATTTAGATCTAACATCATCTCTGCATTTGAGGTTTGTGATTATTCAAATTACCCTACGTTGTAGGCCGAAGACTCTTGTTGCATCGAGAGCCTGGTCCCAGTATATCAGACCATAAACCAAGTGGGAGCCAATTAGAGCATGATATGCTGTTAATAAAATGTTACAATCTACAGCTACGTAATAAAAAAATGTTTTTTGAGCCACTTGTTCTGTGTGGTGACATCGATTTAGTTGTCTTTGAGAGAAAATTAAATAAATTCCCTTTCTCCCCGTTAAGGGTTAAGTTATTTTTGCAAACCGGTTCTTAGCTTTTGTTAATTCAGAGTTCAGACAGTAGCGTCGTCCTCAAACAACGCGAGGCAACCATTCAAAAGAGCTTCAGGAAGGTCTTTCATATATATGAGAAAGAGGGTAGGTCCTATTACTGAGCCTAGCACAACCCTTGATGATAGCAAAGTCGGCTGATCTACCCTCCCTGAATCCGTATTGTTGACCAAAGTAAAGATTAAAATTGTGAAAATGTATGTTAGTTTGGTTTTTTAATACTGATTTAATGATTAGATGAAAGAGGTCTGAAGTTGTTTGTTGTTTCTACACCTTTATGTATGGGAAAATTTTTTGATTTTTAAAATATTTGGGAACACTTCCTCCTTGATTGGAGAATATTCTTTATTTGCTCTAGGATTTTCATGGATATGCCGAAGTGATCTTGACTATTTTTACTTTTCAATTTATCAAAAACATCCCTTACTTGATTGAAGGTCGCTTGTGAGAATTTGAACAAAGGAAGATTTTTGGTTTGATTTTGAAACTTTTGATGATTTTTGGTTTTAGGTAAATATAATAATAATAATAATAAAAATAATAATAATAATAATAATAATAATAATAATAGTAATAATAATATACTTTATTCGGCGAGCTGATTGCTGCTTGCTGATTTCTACACTTAACTTTACACATACATCACGCCAT